AAAACTTTCTTTGCTGTGTACAGGAGCCAGTGTTATCAGCACGCGGTGTTCTGAGACTTACGAGACGAAGACAGCCCTCCTCAGTCTCTTCGGCATCCCCTTGTGGTACCACTCCCAGTCACCACGTGTCATTCTCCAGGTGGGCACTCGAGCAGTGGGGGGGCCCTATCTCAGAGCCAGAGCTGGACTCCAGGCCCTGTTCTGACATGCCTCCCACCCCCTCCAGCCAGACGTGCACCCAGGCAACTGCTGGGCCTTCCAGGGGCCCCAGGGCTTCGCAGTGGTCCGCCTCTCTGCTCGCATCCGCCCCACAGCCGTCACCTTAGAGCACGTGCCCAAGGCCTTGTCGCCGAACAGCACCATCTCCAGCGCTCCCAAGGACTTTGCCATCTTTGTGAGTACCTGATCTGGGCCTGGGGACGGGGCAGGGGGGAGTGTCTGTGCTGAGAATCACACTGAGCTGGCTCTGGCAGTGGAGGGGTTGGTTAGTGAAAATAAAGGAGGAGAGCCTGGGAGAAAGCTGGACCTTCGGCACGGCTGTCCAGCTGTCCGAGGCTGCAGTGAGCAAGGCACGAGGTGGCCCTCCCTGACTCTTCCCATCCCTGCGTGCTTTTCTGTAGGGCTTCGATGAAGACCTGCAGCAGGAAGGGACGCTCCTTGGCACGTTTGCCTACGACCAGGATGGGGAGCCCATTCAGACCTTCCACTTCCAGGTACAGGCTGGTGGGGGCGGCTCCTCCCACTCCAGTCAGCCGACATCTCCCAGGACTAGCACAGGATAGAGGGACTGGCCTTTCTTCCCCCACCGCCTCACCTCAGGGTGGAGGGCGGAGATGACCCTCCTGTCAGTGACAGAGAGGGCAGCATCCAGAACTTCGTCAGCAGGTGCTCGGCTGAAGTGAGTTCTATCAAGGAAGGGTTATGACAAGGGTGTCACTGTCAAGGGCGTTCCAAACGATCAATGTGCAGTCAGCTAGGGTCTCAGGCAGAGGGCGTGTGGCCTAATTAAAGCTAATGTCAGATCGAGGCCTGTTAGAGGCAGATTCTGGAGCTAGGGACATAGTAGCTCAGTTCATTTGTTTGTTTTTGTTTGCTTACAATTATTTTTGTGTGTATGAGTACTTTGCTTGCATATGTATGTCTGTGTACCAGGCATTTGTGTGGGGCCCTAGGAAGGCTTTGGATCCCTTGGAACCAGAGTTACCAACAATTACAAGTTGCCGTAAGGATGCTGGGAATTGAACCTGTATCACATTAAGAGTAGCCAGTGTTCTTACTGAGCCAGCTCTTCGCCACTATAGCTCTGAAGCACAGCGTTCAAGCTAGACACTTGAGAAAAAAAAAAAAGCAAACTGTGTCCACAAGCTTCCTGTGAGGGTCCTGTGCACCGACAGCGCTGGCCGGGACTGGGAACGAATTCACCAGTGCTGGTTCTGATTCAGACTGTTCACACACGGTCCAAGGGCTGGCTCGTGTGGGTAGTGGCCCCTAGGAACCCTGATGTCCCCAGGCATGATAACTTTGTTCCAGGAAACAGACTGTTTTTTTTGTTCCAGGAAATTCTGCTTTTTGTTGTTTTGGTTTTGAGCCCCAAGGAAGGAGAAGACACCTGGCTGCTGGAGTAGCTCTCCCCCACCCCACGCCCTTCTCTGTTGGTGAGGCGTCAAGGGACTCTGACAGTGAACCCCTCTTTCCTACCTAGGCTTCCAATATGGCCACATACCAAGTCGTGGAGCTCCGGATCTTGACCAACTGGGGCCACCCTGAATATACGTGCATCTACCGCTTCCGGGTGCACGGAGAGCCCGCCCACTAGCCCTCTGCTGCTGGCCGTCTGGGAGGCTCACTCTTCGCAGCCATCCATCCCTGCTCTGAGAGGGGGTGCACAGCACCACACCACTGCTCACACATGCTCGATAGCGCTGACTTCAGGAGCGAAAGCCAAGAGGCAGCATGGGCAGGGTTCCCTGCACAGCCAAGCAGCTCCAGGTCACCAACAGGCTCCCGTGCTTTTCTTAGGCCTCTCCCTAGCTAGGTGCCTACCAGGGTGTATATATGTAGCATACTTTGGCGGACTGGGGGTCAAGAAGTGAGACTATTTGGTGGAGGGACTGGCACCAGAGAGTTCCTGGTAGGTGCCAAAGCTGTGGGCATGCCAAGCCAGAGCCCCAGGGAGGTGAGCTAGGGGTCTTGTGGCCTTTCAGGACAGTGCTCAGCACTATGCCGCTGGGATTGCCCCTGGCAGGTGCCTGGTAAAGGACTCAGAGGCTGCTGTGCTCTTCCGGCATGGCAAGTGCCATGGCCCACAGGGTTTCTCGCATCCTGGAGGATACCAGCTCCTGTGTGCCTCTGAGGACTGCTTGTCTGTGCCAATCTAGACAGTCCCCAGTGCTGGGGACCACTGCTTTTTCTCCCGCTGTGGGGTGAGGGGCTATTCTGTCCTCCATTCCTGCTACATCCTGCCTGTGCTCAACAAGCTTTCCATTCCCCCAGGGGAGGACTTAGGCCTGTCTTTGGGGCCATTCTATCAGGGGAGTCTAGAAGACAGGGGAGATGGCTCTGGGGGTCCTCTTGGTCCAGTGCCACTAGCCACAGTGTGGTTCAAGGTATCAGGCGGCGGAGGGGCAATGCTAACCCATCCATCTAAAGAGACCCTAGTGAGGGCCCTGTCCACTCTAAAACAACTCCCTCAGGCTCTCAGCGCTTGCTTACAGTCTGTCTCCTTTCTGGCTCCTCAATGGGGGGAGTTGGGTGAGGGCTGGGAGGGAGGCTAGCAAAAGTTAGCCTGTGTGGCTGTGTGGGGAGGGGTAAGAGGCTGTTAGACTGAGCGGCCCTGCTGTATTATATATAGAATTCTCAAGGTCTGTGGTGTTTTGTTTTTGTTTTTTTCTTTTTTTAAACTGAAAAGCTACAGGCTTGATTCCTAGCCCCATTCTGAGGGGCACCAGCTGTTACTCAGTTTCTAGTTCCTGGCCTCTGAGAGAGGCTTGGTCCTGGCCTACGTAAGGGGCCAGGGAGAGCTGCCAGGCAAGGGCCCAGTGTTCTGGCACAGCGATAACCTGTACAGCCCTGCCCTCAGGGCTTGTTCTGCACTCTCCTGTCACAAATGCTGCACTGTTGATTCTTTTTAAAAACAAAACAAAAAGCAAACCTCTCCAGACTCTTAATTTATGCCTATGCAAAAAATAAAGGATACCCAGGTTCACTGCATTGTGCTCTTTATCAGTCACAGAGCGACTCAGCTGCTCTTGGGGATACAGGGACTGAATTCTTAGCCAAACCACTGTACCCAAAGACTTAGTCCTAAGGCTCAGAGAAAGCCACCGGGATGAACTTGGAACCCCAGCTGTGTTCCTGGATTTGAGGGCTGGCAGGAGGGAGGGAGATGACTGCAGGAACTGTCAAGAACACCTCTCTGGGCTGGGCATGGTGACGCAGACCTGTAATCCCAGCACTCAGGGAGACAGAGGCGGAGGAGCTCTGTGAGTTTCAGTGGATCCAGGACAGCCAAGGCTACACAGAGAAACCCTGTCTCAAAAACCAAACCAAACCAAACCAAAAAAATCCCCAAACCAACAAAACCCCACCTCCACGGAGGGGGAGAGCTTTCTTATTTCTGCTTAAACACAGGAAGAGGGCCTCAGGATTACAGAGATGTCTCCTGAGGGGCCAGGAGCTGCCAGGTCCTGGGGGAGATGCCCTGATGGCTACCTAGATTCAGCTCAGAGTGATTCTTCACCAGGAGCCTCCTACTGACCATGGCATCTTGCCCAGAGCTGGTCCTTGCCATGGCTGAGAAAGCTGGTCAGCAGGGAGGAAAGGGCACTGGCTGGAGTACAAGTTGGCCCAGAGGCATTGGTCCAGAGCCCAGGGACATTGGATCTGTACTCACCCCCCTCCATAGAACAGACATCACCGGGCAGGAAGAGCCCCAGCAAACTGTGACTTGCCACACACCACCAGGGCTCCGTGCCTGTGCAGCCTGCCCATGTTCAAATCCTCTGGGTCTCTCAGAGCCTGGGCCTCACACCATTGTCTCCCTAACCTCCCCAATGCCGGCACCATGGCACATTCCTGTTGTATCATCTCAGAGTTGGGCACCAATGAGCCCGAACAGATGCCTGCATGTGATGTGAGGACCTGGCCTCCTCCATCCCACTCCATGCCATAGCCTTGTCCTAGAAATGATGCGCACGCGGCTGCACGTACAGAGGGCCGGGCCCAGCACTGAGGAGGTTGATGGCTTCACAACTTTATTCTTTATTGATTACAAATAGGCTGGTATTTAATCTAAATGGAGAGCTGAGGGGGCTGAGTTCTGCAGAGACCTTCGCAGTCCCTGTTAATGACAGTTCAACACTGAGTTCAGTCAGCTCCCCCTTGGCCATTCCCAGACCTACCTCCCTGAAGGGCTGAGGCCAGAGGCCAGACAGGTAGCTATGGTGCCTGAACATAATCGTTCTGGTGCCTACAGGGGCACAGTTAAGATGAAATGAGGTTCTACCATGGCCCAGTGCTGTAGGGAGTCACAGCTGCCATTGTGCCTCGTGCCACGCTGTAGTCCCATTACCACAAAGGCACCAGCCCAAGTGAACCAGAACCACAAAGAACAGGTGAAAACAGCTGGAGTCAGAGGACTGGGAAAGGGCCGCAGGGTGAGCAGGAACTAACACTGCTGGAGATGGCCCTTCCCTGAGCTTTAGTGCCCTCACCCTTGGAGACGGCAGCAGTGATGTCCAGCTGTGGAGTGGGCCCACCCACAGCAGCAGCACACTGTGTTCAGCCTGTCTCCCTCACCCTCTCAATGACTCCACAAAACTCAGAGGCATGGGAAAAGTGGGTTCAAAAATAGCTAGTAGAGCACTTCTGTCAAAGTGGAACTCAAGTGGAGGCCCCATTCCCCTCAGCTGCCACCAGGTGCACAGGGCAGGCAGAATCACAGTGTCCCCATGGCAGCACCTCCACCTGGAGGGCTGGGCAGGGAACATGACACTGTCAACTCAGAACAAACTTTTATTGTGAATGCTGGTCTGGTCAGTCCATGGCCACAGGGCAGTGGTAACTAGAAACAGCTGGAAGGAAGGGGGGGGGTAAGAGCAATCAGGAGCAGAGGGCAAGAGAGAGAGCTTGGGAAGGGAGGTGGGGCTGAAAAGGGACCCAGCCGGCTGGGTGTCTGTCCTGGCTGAGAGGGAGCACCCCAGCCTGAGGTCGTGCTGCAGAGCTCTGTCTACACTGGTCTGGCCCGCCCGCCCTATCCCAGCGGCAGGGCTTCTGACAGCCTAGAAGAGCCTGCACACTCCACCTGGGGCATCTGGGCTCAGGCCCTTCACTGCTGGGGTGCCATGGCTGTAGCAGCGGTGTTGGGGTGGCATGGGGAAGGAGGGTTTCTAGTCCTGGCTCAGCTCAGAGGAATACCTCCCCTCTCCCACCCAAAGAAGGTACTCCAGAACCCAATCCCAGGAAGACTCAGACCCAGTCTATACGCCAGGCTGAGGCTTAGAGAACTGAGTGGAAACAGGAAGAACCTCCAGCGGGTACAGAAGCCAGAGCAGCCAGGGCCAGCCAGGCAAGCCCAGGATTGTCTCCAAGGGTAAGCCCACCCAGGTCTTTGGATCCGTGGTTCAGGAAAGAGTCAGAGTGGGCAGTCCTACAATGCAGTCACCACGCCCTCCGCACATCACGGGTGCCACTCAAGAGCTTTTGGTGTTCCCTGCTTGGGAGCTTGGGAGGAAAAAAGTTAGGGGAGACCACCACCTTCCATTAAACTCCCCAAATCATAGATTGAGGGATCCCTGCTCTGGCAGAAGCTAAGCCCAAAGGTCAGCCCCAAAGAGGGGCTTCTAGCTAAGAGGGGCAACTGGCCAGGGAAGACAGGTGCCTTGGGCTCCTGAAGTTCCCTAAAGGTTCTGAGGATCTCATCGAGACAGATAAGAGATGAATGGAAAGACAGGCAGTCAGCTCTTGGAGGCTGGTGGCCAGCCAGGACTGAACGGAGACTGACAGGGTCAGCTGCACTCCTGCACGCACGCACGCACACTCACACTCACACAGACAGAGATACAGAATAAAAAGATAGAAATTAAGGGCCCAGATGTCTGAAAGATGTGAGGAAGAAGGCAGGTGGGGGCGGTCAGTCCTTGGGTATCTAGTCCCTCCTCCTCGTCTTATAAATTACAATCCCCCTTGGAAAAAGGGGTGTGGCAACAAGGATGCTCTAGCTGTGGGCTGGAGTGGGCGGGTGTCGGTCAAAGATGCTCTGCCCAGCCGGTGAGCAGTGAGGATCCCATGGGTGGTCACGTGGACCAGGGGGACATTCAGCAGCCGCTGGCAGGAGTCACACAGGCCCCCTGGGACTTCACCTTGTGGCGCTGGCCCCCTCGTCGCCGGCCCCCACTGCTGGGCTTGGGCTAAAAGAAAGAAAGCAGGCACTTGAGAAGTGAATGCTCCTCTTCGGCAGGGCCAGGCAGTGGGCCAGGCGGTAGCCCTAACCTGGTCAGGGGTTTACAAGGGAAATGCAGTCTTCCTGGCGGGGGGAGGGGGGATAATATGTGGTGATGGTTGGGGGAGCTGGTCAGAGAAGCATGAAGGGGAACAGGAGTCAACACACATCACTGCTACCTGGAAGGGCTCAGAAACCACATCAGGGGCAGGGGACTACAAGGAGGAAGAAGGGAGAGAATTGGGGAGGGGGCAGAAAAGAGTGGACACTGGGCCTGTGTAATAGACACATACAGAAACCTACTCCAACAAGACCAAAGAGAAAACGACATGGGACAGGCATGAGGGAGAGGAGTACTAGGCCTCAGTTAGGACAGGGAAGACCGGGAAAGGCCAGGCAGGTGAGCAACAGTGATGCAAATGTGGTACATGACCTGGGGAAGGCCAACCCCCTCATGCTGAGAGGTGCATTGTCAGCCTCTCAGGGGTGTGGGATCTCAGCCAAACAGAACCAGCACACCCACGTATGTTCTTATTATGAAGGGAAGCCTTGGCTGGGTGTAGTGGCTCATATGTGTGATCTTAGAATCAGAAAAGCTGAGGAAAACTCCCATGAGTTCAAGGCTGGTCTAACCTGCATAAATTTCAGGCCAGTCTATTCAGCCCTACAGAATGAGATCCTGTCTTTTTAAAAAAAAAAAAAAAAAATCAAAACAAAAAAGGGGAACCTTGATGTTTTTCTATTCTGCTTTATTTCATTAAAACCAAATGCCAATCAGGACCAATTAGAGTATCCCACCACCATGCCGGAGGCCATGAGGCCCTGCTTACCTGTGGCTGGAGACCACCGGATGTGGCAGCCTGTGCGGACCCTAGTGAGGATGCTTCATCCCCGGTTGGGGGGCCTCCTACCGAGGGCACACCAGATGGACCTCCTTCTTCTCGTTTGCTCAGGGGACCCTTTTTTGTGGACTGCATTTTAATCTGCTGGGGCTTGGAGTTCATGGGGGAGTTGTTGGTTGTTTGGAGGAGCTGTGGAGGCCAAGTGGATGACAGGTCAGAGTTGTCTGCCCAGGTGTGGGTTTTTTGTTTTGTTTTTTGAGACAGGGTTTCTCTGTGTAGTTTTGGCTGTCCTGGACTCACTTTGTAGACCAGGTTAGCCTCCAACTCACAGAGATCTGCCTGTCTCTGCCTCCCTGACTGCTGGGATTACAGGAGTGCACCACCGTAAGGCAGATGACAGAAAGGGACATCCCAGGAGGCAGAACAAAAAGGCCTGCATCCCCGCTCTGAGGCCAGAACCACAGGACTGGTATTGATGCCTCACCCTGCTTCTCCCTGCCTGGAAAGGCTCCTGCCCTTTCTGGGCCCAGCTGCTTTTCCTGCAGCCTCTCTGAACTTTTCCCACCCTACCCTCAGTCCAGCACCCGAGTCAGGGTCTGGGCTGCCCAGAGCTGCTTTGGACCATGCTTTAACTTCAGGCTCCCTGAAGAAACAAAACAAAAGCCTGTCAGAAATCATAAGCTACCACCTAGGAGCAACTGACTCTGAATCTTTCTTGTGGCCCAAGTTCAATCTCAAAGACACAGGAAAAGAGACTGGCTGGCTTCCATAGGACACTACAGTGGGTGCTGTAGCCTCTATCACACTGTCAAGAAGCCCAGATCCTCAAGGACAGGCCTGAGGGAAGCTTCTCAGGAAGAAAAGGCAGCCTGAGGTTCATCTAGTCTCTGACATGGAAGCCATTTCTTCCTCTACCAAATTCCTACCCAAAATCATGGGTGAGGTCCACAGCAGGCAAAAGATGGGGCTCCAGAAGAAACATTTTGAGCACCGTGAGACCTTCCACCCATGTCCCTCTGATACCCAGGGCTCACTCCAAATGGATCCACCATGCTGTGGGAAGGCCTCAGGCATAGAACAAGCAAACCCCAGGAGCCAGAGGTAGCCAGCACTTCAGAGGCCAACTCTGTCTCCTCAGACACTGTCCTACTTCCTCCTACAGAGAAGAGCCATACCCCAATGCCACCTTCTTTCCTTCAAGACAGCCTCCAAAGCTCAAGACAGGCCTAGGGACAAATCCTGGGCAAGCAAAGATGACCCCAGGAGTCCCAAGAGGAGCTTGTGGTGCTCCTGATCACTAGACTATGGCTAACTGGAGCTCCCTTGGGTAGGTGAAATAATCCCATCATACCTTGGTGATGGTGCCAACAGCCTTGGTGCGACCTTCCCGGAACACCAGCCGCTGATCTATGTGCAGGTACTCAGGGGTCTTGATGAAGCGGAAGTGGACAGTGGCCTTGTCCCCTGTGCGCAGACAGTCTTTATCCATGCTCAGAATGGTAGCTGTCTGCCGGATGCTCCCACAGTGTACTGCCAAGAACAGAGTCAGGAAATGCATCAACTACCCTGTGCCTCAGGCTAGAGCTGAATCTTCGGAGCAGGACCAGAACTCTGAGAGCCAGATACAGCAGGGCAGCCTACTTTCAGACGTGATCCTGCCTCCTCCCTATCTTTCCCCTTCCCAGGCCTACGTGGCAGAGCTTGAGTGTGTCTGTGTGCACATATGCCTTCCCACAGGACTGTTCCTAGCACCTTGATACCACCAGGCACACGGCTCTGCTCAATAACCTTGGCTAAATGAATCCTGGCACATGAGGTCCCTGAGGACAGGTCTGGTGTCAGAGCATCTGCAGGACTGAACAACTAGTGTTGCTCAGGGGCTGAACTACAGGAATGGCTTTGCTAAGCAGGACAGAGAGCTGCCTTGTCTGAAGCTGGAAGCATTGGCTTAGATTGCAGGAGTTCCTTTAGGAGGGACCTTGGACACCTACCCATGGCTTGGTAGCGTGGACTAATTGTGGTGGGGTGGTGGAGGACGAGAATCTCAGCCTCAAATTCCCAGGAGGCCTGAGGATTCAGGCGTGGGGAAACCATCACCATGCCTTTCCGGATGGATGAGCGCTTTATCTGAAAGGAAAAAGGAGAACACAGCTCAAGGGCCATGGTGTCTTTCAGGTTTACCCAGCCTGGTCCTAGAGACCACTATGTCTCTCTAGGGGTGGGAACCACTCCAGCTCAGCCCCGCCCCTCACCACCATCTAAGGCAGCCTCAGTGTTGAGCAGCAAGCGAAACACTGCTAGAGGCAGGAAAGACTGCACAGGAACTCGGCTTTCCAGGTGCTGGGCCCTGAAGGGGCTATGAGCACAGGCAGACAAGCATTCAGGAAAAAATCAGGGTGCGTATCCTGACCACTGGAGAAGACAAACCACAGCCCACTTTCCCTGCTCATTTTGGCTTTGAGGAAGGTAGGTGACCCCAGAGCTAACACTCACCCCAACCCCAGGAGATGGAAGACTGAGTGGCAAGAGTATGCGGCACAGATCCCATCCATCCTAACCCTAAGGAGGCGCCATGTGTAACACTGTGAGCAAGTGACAACTGCTCAGGCCACAGAGGAAGTAGAGTTCAGGAGACAGACAGTCCTGGCTTGGACAGGCTAAGTCTCCTCCTCTGTGGAAACAGGGTCAGGAGCCCACACCTTGAAGTGCAGCACAAGAACTGGAGACAGTAAAAACTTGGCCCAGACTTAGCGCTCAAGGGCAGTTTCTGGAATTACCCTCACTCACCTTCTTCAGTGCAAAGGAAGCTGTCTGGCCTCCCCGCACCTCCTTTACAGGCATGCGCTTGCGATGGATCGACTTAACAGCAATGGACAGGAAGTTACCCAAGGGGTCTGGGCCCAGCAGCAGTGTGTCATTCAGCTTGATCAGGCCCCTCAGTGTGGTCCCGGACACCACTGTCCCCACACCCTGCCAAGAAGAAGACCCTGACCTAGTACACCTGTCCCCATCCACAGACTCACACTGAGGTTAACGTAGGAGATACCCACCAGCCACCCGTCCTGTGAAGTCCTACCCAGAGGCACTCACGGGGACAGAGTAGGTGTCATCTATCTGGAACTCAGCAGGCTCTTCCTCCCTGTAGCTGGTGCGGGGCGACAGGAGGTTGAGGAACATCTTGAGCAGATCCAGGTTCTCACCTGTGACATTGGAGATCTGGAATATCGGGCACATCCTAAATGGAGGAGAAGAAATAAGGAAGAGAGGTGCTCGGGCAGCCAAGACCTCCGACAGTCACCTCGTCCCTTTGCCTGTACTCTTAGTGACTTGTCTTGACCTCTGGAACTGCACGTTCCCCTGAGTGCCTTCACAGGCTAGGGACTCCAAGGAGGAGCTGGAGTGGGGCTGCACCCCTGAAACACAACCCCCCTTTGGGACCAGCAGCGCTACTGAAGACAGCACCAGGCTAGAGGACAGGCCAAACACCCAGCTGCCCGAAAGCACAGGCCACTTCAGGAGGCAGGTGGCTGCCAGCAAGGCCCTGGCTCTGGGGAAGGGAGGAAGTCACCAAAGGAGGATCCTGGACCAACGAGCTGAAGAGCGTGGACTGTGCTCAAGCCAGGATCTAGAATGTAGACGTGTTAACCTCTGGAGTAAGAGCCTGGCACAGCAATGTTCAACAGACATTTATGTGATGAAAAGACTTGTTGAATAAATGCCAAACTGACCTGTGATTAGAGAGCTAATGGCATAACAAGTCAGTGAATCATAAAAAGACAGTGTTCCACCAGCCAAGGGCAGGCTGGCACCTTCCACATTCCTGACTTCCAGCACTCAAGCATCCTCTGGGGCGCATGAGAGTTAATCTTGGTTGCCGACTTTACTGGATCTAGAATCAACTAAGAAACAAGCATCAGGATGGGACTGAGGCTATTTCTGGGAAGAAGCAAGGAAGCCCCTCCCCCAAGGTGGGCAGAGTTGTAGCTGTATAGAAGAATCCTGGAAGGTCCCTAGTACTGCTTGGTCATGGCAGCTCCTCTAGGAGTGGTCAGTTCAGAGCACTGGGTTCAGATACAAAGAAGTCCAAGACAGAAAGTTGGGCATGGTGGTGTACACCTTTAAATCCAGCACTCTGGAGGAGTTTGAGGCTGGGCTATGTAGAGAGACCCTATCTCAAAAACAACAAACAAAAAATAAAAATAAAAATTAACAATGAGGTCCGAGGGAGAGGCAGGGCTGCTGCCGCCTTTGCCTGCCAACCTTTGCTTCTTGCTAGCGAATGCACCTACTCTTACTGCCACCATGGCTGCCTTCCTTTACTGACATCACAACCCAGTTTCTTTGGCTTCGCAACATGGACTAAAGACCAGCAGCTTTCCAGGTACCCTTGAGGCCTTCAGTTCCAGACTAGAACCAAGGAGGCATCCAGCCTTGTGGATGAAGTAGCCATGGAGTCCTCAGCCTCTCCATCAAGTAGACAGCCACTGTTAGAGTACTCAGCCTGTATCATGTAAGCCAACCTAATATAGCCCGTGGCATATATTCATTCCATCAGTTCCAGCCTTCTAGAGAACACTGCCTAGTCCAGGAAGTTAATAACATCCCCATTTCCCAGGTAAGGATGCTGATGTCTCAACTGGGACTCCAACCACAGAGAGGCTAGTTCAGAAGGTGAGCCGCCTAACAGAGGCTCTGAACAACACTGCTGGCCTAAGACTGTGCAAAGACAGACCTGCCCTCCAACCATGCCCGAGAGATCATGCTTGAGTGACTGTGACAGGTCTGTGGGCCTGTGGCTCCCTGTGGCCTGGCTGGCAAGGGTGCCTATTTAGAAGCAAGTGCTTCCCTGGCTTGGCCCTGCCCCATTACCTCTCGGAGCTGAAGTTGGAGGCTGTGACAATCACATCGTCTTTGCTCTGCACCAAGACAGGGATCTTCCGGCAGCCTGGTGACTTCAGCAGGCGCTGTAGCAGCTTCAGGGTTTCTTAAAGGGTGAAACGGAACAGAATTAGGGGACACAGCCTTCTCTCTGGCCAGACTTCCAGGGTAAGAGGTGCACTCAATACCGATGCAAGCAGGAGACAGAGAGACAGACAGACCAGTGTTAAATGCCTGGAGAAGTAAGGAGGATCAAAGCTGGAGGAGCACATGCTGCTGTAGTACAGACAGCACACACGGCCCCTTCTCTAAGGCCATCAGTCTAGGCACACAGACAGGTGACTTGGGTCCCCGAGGACCATGTTCTTTCCCAGAATGCTCTGGAAGGTCTCATCTCAGGAATATCCTGGGCATTTACAAAGCTGCAAAGAGCCCCCCACCCCCTTTTTGGTTTTTTGAGACAGGCTTTTTCTATGTAGCCGTGGCTGTCCTGAAACTCACTCTATAGACCAGCCTGGCCAAGCACTCTCAGAGATCTTCCTGCTTCTGCCCCCTAAGTGCATGGATTAAAGGAGTGTGCCACCACTGCCTGGCTGCAGAGACCCTTCTTCTAAGACCGTCTAATGGAACAATGTTCCACTCAACTTGCAGCACCGAGAGAGATGAAGAGGCCATGTTCCAACCCCTGTGTGGAAGCGTTGGTGTTAAAGGCCACAAGACTCTTTGCCCAAACTCCTCCATATACATCCTGCTTCAATACAGCCCAGTGCCTGCTGCTGGAGACACTGGGGGTGGGGAGAGACAGAGGAATAACAAAGATTCTTCAGATCCTGTACTTGGAACCAGGAAGAAAGAACAGAGGGAAATTCTAGGCTTTGCTTAGGTCAAGAGCTAAAAAGGAAGGAAGAAGTAGAGGACTCGGGCTGATGGACCCCGAGGCTAATCTAACAGACGAGGCTGCAGACAATGTTGGGCTGAGGCTCTGAAGCAGGCCACCCTGAAATGCAGCGTGGACAACCCCAGAGGCTGCTGTAGCTGCTTCACTCACCTTGAAGGATGTTGGCAGGACACATGTCAATCTTGGTGACAACCACAAAGACAGGTACATTGAGAGCCAATGCCAGGCCCAGGTGCTCCTTGGTCATCCCCACGATGCCGGCATTGCTGCCCACCTGCCCCAGAAAGGAACTGTCAGCACAAGGAAGACAGAAATTGCTGCTGGGCAGCCAGGGGACCTCAGCCTGTGGGCAAAAGCTGGGCTGGGCGATGGGGACGTAACTGAAAAGTCGGCTCTGGTGACAAACCCCCAACACTCAGAAGCCTGAGTTCGAAGCCTGCGTAAGCTATCGAGAACCTTCTGGAGCTTGGGAAACGCAGTGACACACTGTCGGGAAAAAAGTAAGCAAAGGCCTGGGGGAAACTTAGAGGTAGACTCTGACTTGCACCGAGTGCTATCAAACCAGCTTCTACTTTAGAGGGGCACTTGATGTTTGACACCGTAAGGGAACACTGCCAGTTGGAGCACACTGTATCTCTGAGGCAGGAGAGATGGCTCAGGGGTTAAGAGCACTGGCTGCTCTTCCAGAGGACCCAGGTTCAGACCCCATTACCTACACAGTGGCTCACAACTGTCTAAAACTCCAGTTCCAAGGGATCCTAGGCTCCCTTTTTTGCCCAAGGATACCACACACGGTACAGATACATGCATGTAGGCAAAACGCTCATCAACAGAACAAAACAAACACCTTAAAAAAAAGTATCTCTGGCAAGAACACAAGAGCGTAAAGACACTGGCTGCCTCTAGTAGGAAACAAAGGAAAACTTTCTTCTGTATGCTCTCTGTTGCCTTTTAAAACACATTTATGCTCAGTGTGGTGACACAGGCCTTTAATCCCAGCACCTGGGAGACAGAGGCTGAGGCAGGTGGATCTCTGTGAGTTTGAGGCCAGCTTCATTTACATAGCAAGTTCCAGGCTGGCAAGGGCTAGAGTGAAATGGTCTCAAAAAAACTAATTTTTAAAAGGTTATTGTATGTGTGTGTATATGTGCATACGTGTGTGCGTGTATGTGAGTGCATGTGCCTGGGGTGGGGGATGGTTAGCATGCCATGGTGGTTTTTGGAGACCAGAGGATAAGCTGTGGGAGTTGGTTCTTCCAGGGATCCAGCTCGGGTTGTCAGGCTCGGCAGTAGAAGCCTTCACCACTGAGCCATCAAGCTTGCCCTCTTCATTGCCTTTTATTTTTGTACCATGCAAGTGAGCGCGTACTAAAATAGAATTATGAGAGAAGCTGCCGTCCTGTGCCTGTATGGCACCGTGAACGTGCCAGGACATCTTCAGTGGGTTGCTTTCACTTGCTGGCAGAGCCCACAGGGGTCTCCAGTCCAGCTGCTGCCCCTAGCTGGCTACTGCCGGCCTGGGTTAGTGAGCCGCCAGGGACTGGGTATTGCTTCTCACTCCCTTGCAATCCAAACCCAACTGGCTTCATTGTCCCCAGGCTGAACTGAGAATGCTCTCTTGGTTTCTATAGGTTACTTTTTTTCCTAGAAAATTCATCTCTGTGAAACAGTAACATGATAGTTCATTGTTTTTATTATTTACTTAAAACAGAAAAAGAAACAGTACGAGTATGTAACCCAGGCTGGCCTCAATGTCATGATCCCCCTGCCTCCACCTCTCAGGGGTTGGGATTCTAACCATGAGCCACGACTGAGTGTGTACTCAGTTATTTCTCTGCTGTCTACACACGTTCAATAAGTGGATGATGGTCTAAAAGTCAAACAGAACATTTTTGTTTGGTTATCCATCCCATTACTGTCCTTAGTCATTACAGCTCAGCTAGAAAAAAATGCTTTTTATTGTGTGAGGAAATTGAGTCTTAAGTAAAGACATGATAAGGAGAACACACACTAGGCTGTGGCACGTTTAGCCTGTCTCTCCAGGAAATTCTAATGAGCTGATCTGGTTCATACACACTGTAGACATGCACTGAAATACACTGGACCTCCTACGTGTAAATTATTACACACGCTAGCTAGTTACAACACAATCAAAAAAGAAAAAAAGAAAAATGTTGATTTCCAAACTACAGCCAGTGGTGGTGATGATGGCTGCCGTGGCCCACGCCTTTAATCCCAGCACTTGGGGGGCAGAGGCAGGTGGATCTCTATTCGAGGCCAGCCTGATCTACAGAGCTAGTTCCAGGGCTACACTGAGAAACCCTGTCTGAAAAACCAAAAATAAAATCATACAAAATAAATGCAGAGTAGGATTTTTTTTTTTTTTAAATGTCATTCATAGGGAGAACTGGCTGTGCTTCCAAAGGACCCAGGTTCAATTCCTAGCACACACAAAGCAGCTCACAACTATTTATAATTTGGTCTCTGGGAATCTGACACCCTCTTCTGACCTCTGTGGGCATCGGTCACACATGTGGCAGGTACATAGACATACAAGTGGGCAAAACAACCAGACACAAAACATTTTAAATTTAAAAAACGTGTATTGGTGCATATGCACACACGCAGCGGTCACACGTGTACCAGGTCTGAAGACTACTAGGTGGAGTCGGTTCTCTCCTGCCTTTACCTGGGTGCTGGGGACCAAACTCAGGTCACCAGCCTTGCTTGGCAAGCCACGATACCTGCTGAGGCATCTTCCTCACCCTGTAAGCCCTTCTTACAGCCACAGCCCAGTGGCCCCTCTGGACTTTTAGAGATGCCTGCTGCTGCCGCAGCTTTCCTCGGTCAAGAGCATGGGGGACTGCCTTTTGCAAGGCTCGGGAAGCGAGAGCAGCTGCTGTGATCCCGAGAAGTGCGGGTGAGGGGGGGGGGTGTCCTGGCAGCACTGTCCCCCTCCGCGGTCCAGCTGAGAAGCTGTCTGTGGGCAGCTGGAGCAAGTGTTCCAGGAGCAGATGCCCGTGTCTGCTGCACTTAGGAGTCCGGCTGAGGAGCCAGGAGGGCGGGGGGGCTTTGAAAGGATTTGGGGGAGGAAAGCTCACTTACTGTGGGTATGTGCGCACCCTCTTCCTCCTTCCCTCTCCCCCCAAAGCTGTGCACAAAGTACGGGAAGCTCAGCAGAGCACATGTGCACACACAAGCAAAGCCAAGTCCCTGCCCCTCTCCTTTCCGGCGATGCTGCACGATGCGCCACTTGAGCATCCATGCTCTCTGGGAACCCAGGACCAGGAAGGCCTGCTTCCCACGGTCAGTGCCACCAGTTGAGCACAGGGCCCAGAGCGGCGTCCCCACGAGGGCTGTACAGCAGCTACCGCTTCTCCCTCCCAGGCACTGAAGACAGCACCTCAGGCCCTGCTGACTGCGGCGGCCCTTGCCTCCTGAGGGGCTCTTCTCCTTCCTTCCCCAGGTACCAGAGGGTACCACTTGGGGTCACCTTCTGAAGTACTCCAAGGTGCAGGAGAAAACCTTTCTGAAGGCGTGAAACAATGAGAAAGCCACTATGCCTTTCCAAAAATGCACCTGCAAGAGATGCCCTGCTTTATACCAAGCGTCCCCTCCATGATCTAAATGCAGAAGAGAGGTCAAGGTTCTCTGTGGAGAAGACCACAGAGCTCAGAGGACTGGGCTCCCTGAGACCCCGAACTTGCCATCCTACCCCCACCAGCAGGCCCCAGTCTCAGAATGATCCCAACCCTTCGCATAGCATCTCAGGTCCCCCCCACCCGCCGGGGGAGCCTCACACTTACCATGAGCATGCAGAAGTCAGGCAAATGGCCAGTCATGCCAAAAACAGTGGTCTTCAGGTACTTCTCATGGCCAGCCAAGTCGATGAAGGTGATCACCTTAGTGGACTTCTCACAGATCTTTGTCCATTCCAAGCTGCCACCATGGCTGTCAGGCTTGTTCACTACATTGCCTTCGCTGTCAAAGCCCAGAATGTCATTGCCCACGCTGCTGGTTCGACCAGATTCGATTTCATGTTTGTGGCGGAAGAGTTTTTGGCGGGCAAAGCCACGGCCATTGTCCAACTCTCCATGCGTCAGGACTCCCAGGAGCGTGCTTTTGCCAGCGTCCACATTGCCCACAACTGCCACCCTGCACGGACAGGAACCCAGGATGAGAGCTGGTCCCTGAAGAGACTCCTCAGCCAGAGACTGGGCCCTGAGTGCAGGCTCAGCCCAGGACTCTGGCTCAGGACTTCCCTGTTCCCGGTTGAGCAGAGGGGAACATTCCTGGAGTTGTTTCCAAGGTGTACAAAGTCAGTTAGGAGTCCTGGCTCCTTCAACACCTACAGCCCTAACCCCACCACTGAGAAGATTCCCCAAGTTATGAAAGGCACAAAGAATCTCCCCATCTTCCAACTTCCAGCCTCAGGCAGATGGTAAACTCAACAGAGCCACAGGGCGGCCACAGAATGATGTCTCGGCCTTCTCTTACATGTCCCGGATGGAATACCTACATGGAACTCAGGAACAAAGAGCAGAACTGACAAGACCATGAGCCTCTGCACTCTCCCGTCTTACGACAACATAGAGCTGGCAGGCAAGTGTCACAGGCCCTACCACATTCTCTGTGGTGCCCCCAGTCATGTGGCAGGGGCCCTGCAAGCCCCAATTCTGAGACCTCACCTGACCTCCAGGAAGTCACTGTCTCCGACTCGTTTCCTGACTAGGTAATCGCGCACGCGGCCGCCAGCTTCTTGACGCTCACGCAAGAGGATGACATCAGCCTCTATCTGCTCCGCCATGCTCTTCACTGTGGCATAGGAGGCCTCCATGTCAGCTTCACTCAGCCCGTACTCAGTCCCATCTGGTGACAAGAGCCCAGACATCAGGAGGAGAGAGAGTCCTGACCAACCAGCCCGCCAGTAAGCCAGCGAGCTGACTGTACCTAAACGGGTTCCCTCCTGGCACTGCAGAAAAACACTAACAGCTCAGGCACATACCGAGTTAATGCTTGACAGTGCCACAGCTTCCCCTTAGCAGGGAACTGGGTAATTCATTTACGAGTCACCAAGATTCTCCTTGAACTTATGCCAAGCTTCATATTAGATCCTAGCAATATAGGTGCCCTCAGTGAGCTCACAGCCCCAAGGGAGAGACACAAGAAATTGATTAATCTCAATATACTTTGAGCACTACCCTGCAGAGCTGAAGAAAAAGAATGCAAAGCACGGCCTAGAATGTGGAGGGCAGCTTTGGGTCTTTAGAAGTTGAGAAATGAGCATGTAGAGGAAAGACATCACGCAGAGAAGCAAAGCCCAAAGCGTGGCAGACCGTGACTAGCCAGGGCCAGAAAGACGCACGGTGTGTTGGGAGCAGGTTGGGGTCAGGGAGCAGCAAGAAGTGGAAACCGGCAGGACACCAGACTGAAGCAAACTGTTTGCCTCAGGCAGGACAATAACATGGTCAGAGCAAGGTGGGCAGGATGACCTTCTAGGCGATAAGCAAGAGGTCAGAAGCAGGAGTCCAGCAAGAAGAAATTCTAATGTCCCAGGCAAGCAAGGAGGGCAGGAAGACGGAGGGAGATGACGGTATGTGCAGGTTATCGTAGAGACGGTTTTTATTAGGATGGCTCAGGTATGGCATCCAGCCAACAGCTGGAAAAAGGCCTTCAGTGCAGGACATGGAGGGAGGCAGGGAAAGATGGGGCAACGAGCTTCCTAGAGTCTAAGAACAGCAATGCAACAGGTGCTCCCGTGCATGATGGGGTTCAGCGCTCACCACTCCCTCAGCCCCTCTCTTGGTTCCTTCTAAGAAACCCTGGAGCATGGTACCCTCTTCTGCATCACCATCCAGAGACCTTGCCAGGCCAAGCCTGTTCCTCCTCTTCCTCTTCTTCCTCCTCAAGCTCCCTTAGCAAGCTCATCAATTCCAAGATCAGGAAAATCACCCCTCTTTCATGGTCTCAGCTCACATTTTGAGCTACCAACCATCTCAATTCTTCTGACCACCAAGGAACTCAGAAGATGACCCCTGCTGACATTTGTCCCCAGTGCTCTGAACGGACCACTCTTAGAGGAGCTGCTGTCATCAAACATCACCAGTGGCCTCCTAGCATTCTACATGGCTATACGCCTGCCCAGCACCCAGCCAGAATTCTCTTGATGTCTCCCTGCTCCTGTCCCCTGAATGCCATCCTCTGCCAGTCCCCCCACCAAAGGCCTCTTCTTCGTCCAACCTTTCCCCTTAGCTGTCTCATTCTATGGCCTCAGCTGTCACTGCCAAGACTTCAAGAACGTTCTTATCTAGCACTGGCAACCTCTCCATGCTCCACATGGAATCCAGTGGCCTAGAGGAGAACTCCCAGAGGTCTGACATTCAGACTCACCCACTCACATTTCAAATAGTGGCCCACAAATCATCAGCACCAATACAGCACCAGATACTCCCTGTAGCCCCGTAAGGTGGGTTTGGAAATTCCAGCACTTGAGAGGATGAGGCAGGAGGATCCTAAGTGTGAGGCTCCCCTCAAACAAAAAGAAAAGAGGGAAGAGGGGAGGAAGGGAGGGGAGGAAGAAAAACAGGGTAAATAGAAAGCAGATACTTCCGAGCTGGGAGGCTGCAGAGCAACCTCGGAGTAAACTGCTGTCCTTCTTGCCGTTCCCATTCTAATAAAGACAAAACTTTGCTTCTGGTCAGCTAGGCATACCCCTCTTACACCCCAGCCCTGCCGAGTCCAGTTCTTTCTGGTGTCCTTCCTTTGCTGCCTGATTCCAGCCCATAGTCTATTCAACACCTGGTCTCATTGAACCTAGTCTGTGTTTTCCGCTTGCCCCCCCCCAATAGCTTTCCTACCTCAAGTCCAGCACAGTACCCGCACATTTAAGCTCCCAAAGAAACCATAGCTCTTACAGTGCCACTTTCACATCAAAATCTCGGAATGCCTTTCCAGAACTGACAGGATTCCTTCCAGCTCTGATCCCTTTAAGCCCCTCCCCCACTCATAGGCTCCCCACATCAGCTCTATCCCAGTGCAGGTGACCCAAGGGCTCATCTCCCTGGGTTCACGCACAGTTCTAGCTCTATGGTCACTCTCAGCCCAAACAGCAATCAATCAGCATGTTTTCTCTTGGCAAGATCCTATCAGCTCTGCTCAGAGACCACCCAAGCATTGGCCTTCCTTACAGCATTTGCAACTCCCTACCCTTGTGCAAAGGGGTTTTTAGACAGGTGTTCCAGCAACTACACAGATGTTTCTTGAGGAGCGGGGACCATGTCTTAACCATTTTCTGGTGAATGGCTTTCCTACCTCAAGTCCTCAAATGTGTGGAAAATGTAAAACAATTGACTCAAGAAAGAAGACTGGGCGGAGGGCAGAAGGTTCTCAATGCACAGCTGAGCGCCAGCACCTCATAAATGAGGGAAAGTTGCCATCCTCACCAGACTAGCTACTTTCTTTGCTGCTTTCCAAGCCAGGGCCTGGCACCAATGTCACCTTGACCATCAGAGCTCTCAGGTGGTCATATTACACTTGTTTAGCATGCACCACTTTCATCATGTTAGGAGGAGACAAAAGCCAAGGAGAAAAGCCAGAGTCCAATTACTAAAGCCCATGGCAGCCCTCATCAGATTTCTGTCCTGCCGGCTCCCTTACCTTTCCCACAGTGTTCTTCTACTGTGCTGTGACAGCTTCCCAGGCTTTGGGGACACAAGTCTCAGCTCTTTGGCATGGCATTCAAGGACTGTAACTGGACTCTGCCTACCTGTCCCTCCTGACGTCACCTTCTCCTCTGCTTACTAGAGTACATCTGGCCCCCCAAATACCCATTTCCAATGCCTCCATGCCCCTGGGCATGTGGTTTCCTCTGCCCACTCACCACTGCTCACAGACAAGCAGCTCCTCTGTGAGGCCTGCTCCTGACGCCTACAAATACACAGCACTGCGTCCCTTGCTGTGCCATCTGGCTGATCTGGCTGGTTAGGCAGGTGTCCCTCCCTCTCTCAGTACTCCATGTGGGCCCCTCAGTTGAAGAGGATGACCCTCCCTGACGGAGAACCATTCTTCAGTGATGAGTATAATGAAACGACTGTGTTCCCCTGCTGGAACTTCCAAACGAGCTCTCAAGTCATGAGTTAATATTTAAGAGACAATCAAGGCTCTTTTTGCAAAGCAATCCCATAATAAGTCAGCTCCAACCCAGGACCCTGGAGAGCTGCCACTACTAACACTAACACTTCTATGCCAGGCGCTCCTTGAGTTCTCACGTAGCTCTCACTGGGGCATCATGAGATACTCACATTTTCTTACTACTTATATTTTGAAAGATTTTATTCCTAATTAAATGTGTGTGTGTGAATGTGCACATGAGTTTAGGTGTCCAAAGAGGACACAATAGGGTGTCAGATCTCCAGGAACTGGAGTTATGGGTGGCTGTGAGCCTCCTAACATGCATGGGAACCGAACTCGGGTCCTCTGGAAGAGCAGTACACACTCTCCAGCTCAGTATTACCTGCATTTAAGACAAGGAAAAAATCAGCAGGTAAACCCAGACCTTCCGGGCTCCAGACTACCATACCATTACTGACTGGCTCCTAAAATATCAACCTTAAATGAAGAACATATAGGTATAATGCACAGTCCCCCAGGATTTTGTACATGGTTTTAATGTGTTTATCTGTGAAAAGATTTCTCTGAGGAAGCCTTCCTTGTCTCCACGCTATGGCAGAAGGCCCTGGTGGAGGGATGAAACCCCAACACAGAGGAGAAGCTGGAGATGAAGCTGGCCTCTGGGGGCCTTGCCATCCATTCAGTCCTGTCTGATGCTCAACTTGTTTAACTAGTTCCGATCTGAAGGACTCACCAAGGTGATGCGTGCCCAATGCTAGGGTGTGTGGGGGATGGACAAGTGAGTATGTGACATCTTACCTTCCAAAGGAGGGTTAATTAGATGTGTGCTCTGGGTATGGTAAAGCTCGGACTGCATTAAAGAATGGGAGAAAATGAGAGCCTAAGTCTTTTGGTAAAACCGAGGCAGGAGCATCAAGAATGTAAGGCCAGCCTGGATTATAAGGCAAGACCCTATTAAAACAAACAAACAAACAAACAAACAAATAAGAGGGCTGGGTCTTCAAAGACTTGCTCCACCACTTGTCAAAACTGACCTTTATGTGGTTTCCTACAAAGCAGGAAATGACCTATGACTGGCTTGTCTTCTTAGGGCAGGCCAGAGATGTACCTGACAAGCTTGCACAAAGAATTGATAATCTCTTACCACCAAGTAGACAGCCCTTTTCTGAACCTGCTGTCTAGCGGCACTTGGCAGTGCTGACTGCCTCCCTCCCTTCCTTGACAAGTGACCTCTTCGCCTATCTCTCCGACCATGCCTTCTTTTAGGCGATAGGAGCCACAGCCAAGGGGTGGCAGGAGTGGGAAGGAGAGGAGAGATAAGAAGGGCATGGTAGGATTTAGAAGCTGAGCCTTTGTCCCTGGCTGTCATCTTGAGGCATTTTAAAACATTGTTTTCTCTGAGATTATTTGTGAATATAGCATCTTTCTTCCTGAGAGGTGAGGACCAGCTTCATTCTGCTGTTTGGCTTTCCGTTGCTGAGGACAGAACGCAGGGCCTTGCACACACTAGGCGAGCATTCCACTGACCCACAAGCCCAGGGAGCCATATTTTAAGCATCCAAAAGTGCTTTTGGAAAGCATCGAGCTTTGGAAGATCCATAACATGTATGTCAAATAAATGAAGATCAAAATTCTTCCTCCCAGCAGTGAGGATTCACCCAGGCCTTGCATAAGTTAGGCAATGAAGCACTGCCCCTAGGCTACACCTCCAGGCTTTTTCATATTTTTATTTTGAGACAGTTTCAGGATGGTTTGGAATTGGCCATACTCCTGCCTCAGCCTCCTGAATACTAGATCACAGGCATGCACTCCCAAGCCTGGCAGAAGGGCTGTGACAGCTCCTTAACTCAGACTGTTAAAGAACTATTCCTTTGGGGGCTAGAGAGATGGTTCAGTGGTTAAGAGTGCTGTCTGCTCTTCCAAAGGACTGGGGTTCAATTCCCAGCACCCACACCGCAGTTCACAACTGTCTGTAATGCCAATTTCAAGGGACCTGACAGCTTCACATGAAATGCACATAAAATAAAAAATTAAATAAATTACATAAAAAAAGAACTATTCCTTTGCCTTTATATTCATTTATTTATTGCCTTCCTATAAGTCTGCTAAACAAAGAAAACTGCCCCTAATGATGCACACAGGCCCAGCCTGGGCTTCTTGCAAGAGCTCCTCAACAATTTCAGTTTTCGTTTCAGGAAAGAAAATGTTATGATAAAGATGGAGGTAGAAAGCAGTAACTAGGAATGACTGGAGGGTGGGGTGGGGCTGTGGACAAGTCCAATTCCATGGTGGCATCTGGGACGGGGTCTGCCCCTCTCTAGCCCTGGAGGCTCCAGCATGATCGATCGGTAGGATGGAGGACAGTATCCAGAGTGGCCACAAGACTACCAGCCTGACCTGATCTTGTAGGGGTCAGGAGGGATCTCTGATACCACAGCTGTCCAGACCGAGTGGTCAGTGTGGTCTGGGCCAAAGAAGCTTGATGGAAGAGAGGAATTCTGAGAATCTTTTCCTTGGTAGCTTCAAGAAGAACCATAGAGAGTCTCAGCTAAGTAGAAAAGAGAAAGCAGTGGGATCCATAAACAGGGCCTGGAGGGGAGGACCTGCAGTTACCCAAAGCAGGTCTAGACCTACCTACGCCTTGCTCCCTTACCTTAGATAAGAGGTTTCCTTGCTTAAGTTTCAAATCACTGGATGCAAATGAGGAGTCCTGAGGTGGAGAGGAAACATCTGTTGGGCCCCCTGGACAAGGAACCTGGACCCCAAACTTATCCTGACCACATGGTAAGGAGCTGGCATGCAATTGCGGGTCCCTTCCCCCAGACAGTTGTGCAGACACTACAGTGTGGCTGCACAGGAGACACGCGAGTCGAAAAGGTGGTGCTGGTGGGAAAATGTGCACTAAATAATTGCTTAAAACAAAGGAAAGGAAAACTATGCTCACCTGATCCCTGCCCAATGACATATATGGTCTCTCCGCATCCCTCGTCCATCCTCTCCCACATCTGCCGAAGTAGGCTGTCATACTGCTCTGATGTAGGGCTCACTAGAATCAGCTAGAAGAGAAACCAACAGCCTTAGGACCACACTCACTACAGAGTGCCACAGACAAAGCTGACCAACAGCCTGCCCAAAGACCTTGACCACACCCCAGGGCACCCTAGGGGAACACAGCTATGCTGTCCCCTCACATGCTCTCCTAAAACTGCGTCATGTGACCCAGAGGATACACTAAACTGAGTATGTCTGTGCCACAACTCACAGGAGGAGTGGTGTGCACAGCCTGCCTCCTGCTGCCTCACAAGAGGTCCCGAACAAGGGAGAAGAGAGTCTGCCGCTGAGGGGAGGCTATCAGGCAGTGCTTTGTACCTCGGCAAGGTCTTGCAAGGTCTTCTTTGGTGTGCATCGGGGAGTTCAAGATCAGACTGCTCATTGGCAGCCACGCACTCAGCCACAGCCCAGTGCTCCCATAATAACAAAAGAATTCTGTTCTACCTTGCCTAAGCTGTCTTGATTACTACAGCGAAAGCTGCCTGCAAAGGCCATCTTTGTCAACAAAACCCTACTGCCACTAAGGTTAGTATTATTAGTCCCACAGCTGTGTAAGCCCTGTCAATAACAAAGTATCAATCACTTAGTTGGGGAGGCCATGCGGATTCCAGTCTCTAGTCACTCCTATGTAGCCTTGGACAAAGAACTTAACCTTTCTAGTTTATAGAATAACATACAAACCATTTAGGCTGGCTCATGTCTGTGATACCAGCACTGGGACGCTTGAGGCAAGAAAAACTGCTAGGGGTTTGAAAACAGCCTGGGCTACAGAATGAAAGCCTGTCTCACAACAAAACAAAACAAATAAAAACAAACAAAAGCATCTAGGCCAGGCTCAACTAACACTCATTACAAAGTTATCTTCACCAGTCATTTCTACAAAGACTCTGCATGAATCTCCCCACCATTAGTCATTAATTGCCTTTCTTGCTGGAAGCACTCAGAGTCCTACTGCCCCACATTTAGCTACAGTGAGGGTTTACAGCTCGAGTGTCTACTCTTCTCAGGACTTAAACCTATTCAATCCACCCCTTCTCTCCTCCACCGGCTCAGCTTTTCTTTTTTTTCTTTTCAGCTCTCTCTCTGTCTCTGCCTCTCTCTTTCAATTTCAAAGTATTTCCCCAGGTCTGAGATTAAGTAACAGTTTCTTACTCATGGCAATTAAATATAATGGTCAAAAAAGGGTACCACCCTCTTCACAACTCTGTCCCAGTTTCCCGCTGAGTTTTCAGGTTTCTTCAGCTCCCTGACCATGCACCAACATTCAGCCGGTCCACTTCCAACACGCTCACTTGACTCATCAGAGTTTGTAATTGTAACCCGGATGCTGCCGGGGTTCCGCCGTCTCCCTTCATCTCTTACGGAGGTCTCCCTGAGCTCAGCCACCCTCACTATGGAATGAAAGGAACTAGGCAGGACCACCATGACAAAGTGGAGCTACCTTGCTTCCAAGTGCCCAGGAGAGACTGGAAGGAGAAAGAACAGTTGGGAATTGTTTACTTAGGTTGCAGGGAAGGGTTCTTTCCAGTTTGGAGCCAAGTTTTGAGATGCCACAAACATTCTCAAAGCTCTATAAAATCTCCCATCCAGGTAGTAATCAGACCAGACACTGCTTAGCCTCTGAGATCAGACGAGATCAGGCTCGTTCTGCATACTATGGCCACAGACATCAAAGCTCCATAAAATCTCTATTGTAATTATCCTACAAAGGGCAGGGGACGGGGCTGCTCTATCTTCCATCAGCTGCCTTTTTATCCCCATAGGGGATCATCCTCTATCTAGTCCAAACATTTACTGAGTCTCTGATATGTATCTAGTACTATAACAATGTCTTAACATACACTTCAAATTTTTGCAACACAACTGTACTTTCTTGACGGAATAGCTGCAGAACTGAGAGGTTAAACCTTCTTAAGGTCACAGAACCTTTCTAATGGCAAGAGCTGGAAAGGAAACCCAGCCTCCCCTGTCTCCCCAAGCTGGCATTAGTTTCTTTAGTGATGTTAAACGCTTTCTAAGCACAAGTTACATCTCATACTTAACTTTATTTTCCACAATGCCACGCAAATGGTGAGATCTTAATTTCTGCCTACCTTCTCAGCAACTCGGAAGACACTATTTAAAAACGCCCTTCCTTATTCCATGCACACAAGAGGTGGCCCCGCTCCTAGGTGGCAAGACTGCGGATCATGCCTATCTTTCTATTAAAAAAAAAAAAAATTTACAAGGCGGGGATGAGGAGGGTTGAAGTGTGCCACGGTGTGCGAGTGGACATGAGGACAACCTGTGGGAGTCAGTCCTCTCTTTCACTAGGTGGGTCCAGGGGATTGAACTGAGGTCGTGAAACTTAAGAGGCGAGCAAGCGCCTTTACCTGCTGGACCATCTCGTCAGCCTCACCTTTTTATTTTCTTTGGGTGGACACGGAGAGTGGACACTCCTCGGACATCATCCCCACCGACTGAGCAACTACTTTCTGTTTCCTTTCCCGAGGATCAGGAAGAGAAACAGAAACGGCTGCCACCCCTACACTCCCTTAGACTGGCTACCTGCCTCGGCGAGCATCCCGCCCCCTGCCCAAGCCACCTTGACCCTCGGTCGTCCGGGAAGACCCCATGTCTCGGGGACCCCTCCTGGGAAGGACGACGGGCCCACACGGGGACAGGGACGCAGGGCGCGCGGCCGGCCTCGGGAGCCCCGTTCCACGTGGCAGAGCCAAGGGGCAGCGATCGAGGCGGGAGCGGGGAGCGCGGGAGGCCGGGTGGACGCCGCCGGGCGCCGGGAGTGGGCCCGGGCCCCGCAGGTCCCGAACCGCGGCAGGTGGGTGGGCTGCGTCCCTGCGGCGTCCCACCGAGCCGCGCCACTGGTCGTCCCGATGACCGCCGTCGCCTCGGAGACCGCCCGGCCCCTTCGGGTGCCCCCGGCCCCGCCACCGCCTCCCAGGCCTACCTTGCTGGTGAGGTCCAGCTCCGGCTCGCCGTTGAGCGCCTCCCCGTCCTCGCTGCAGTCCGAGTCGAAGCCACCGTGGAGTCGTGCGGCGGCCGCGGCTGCCCGGGCCGCCCCCGGAGAGCTAGGTTCGGGGGCGAACATCGAGGCCGGCACCGGCGAGTCCACCGGGGAGCGACTCCGCTCCGCCGCCATCTTTAAGAACTTAGGCTAATTCGCAGCCGGCCGCCCGCCCTCCCTCCCTGGCTCATTTAACTAATTTATGCTAGGCCCCGCCCCCCTCGTTGAAATAATTTATGCGCAGCTTCTCCCGCCTCCCGAGAGAGACACAGGCGGCCCAGTCTCTCGGCCACCAATCGCTGCAGCCCGCTCAGATGCCTTAATGAATAATTAATGAGGAGGCTCAAACCCCAACAACAAACGTCGCGGGCAGCGGGAGCCTTGGTCCCACCTCAGGCGGGGCCAACGCGGCGTGCACGCTACCTGCCTGGGTTCTTCCCGCCAACGAGAGCGGAGCAGAGGTTTGACTGACTGGACAGCAATCCAATGGAAAGAAGCACCCGTGCCCCGCCGCACCGCCCCCTCACTTTCCAGAGGCGGAGCCATCTTACAAATCAGGCTGCAAAAAACAGTCCCGCCCGGAGCCTCAGGGTGATGGACAAGGGCGGGCTCCAATCTTGTCCTCCGCTGGTCCCGCTCGCCCGGCCGCCACTCGCCCGGATAGTAAACTGCAAAATGAGCTTGGCACGCCAAACGGCTGAAGGCTGGCGCTGCGTTACTGTGTCCGGCGTGCTGGCTTGCGTAAGGCAAGTTTTATAGTAGAATCGATGCTATGTATTCCAAGAGGTGTAATACTGTAGCAGCCGGACCGAGACAATTAATTAAACGTTGACCTTAAGGGAGCTCCATTCATTGACTCCTTGGAGAGCAATTGAGTGAACGGAAAGGAGAGGATGGACAGCCCAGACACCAGCGTAGAAACACCTCACCACGTTTGTGGTGAACAGCTGAACCAAAGGTCTAGGATCCGTGAAGGTACTTTCCTGTGGATTATTTTTTCACTCGCCTCTACTGGAAAGTCCCAGTCCAAAAGTGTTGTCCCTGTGCCTGAAATTCCTGTTTCGAATGTCTGAAAAAACCTAGACTTTTGTTAGGTGAGCTCTGGGTTTTACCAACGTCTAATAATGCTGGCTGGCCGTGGCCGCTCAGTCTAGGTAGTAGAGACGAAAGAGCAGCGGTCTGAGAAAGTATGGGAAATTTAGAATTTGGACCACGGGATGTAGTGAGCAAGAAAATGGTTTCAAAGTACCCGTCAGCTAATTCGGGGAATCTGTCTGAGATAGCAGAATCTTGTTCTCATTTTCAAATAGGTACCGAGTCTCAGCACAGATGCCGCTGGAAACCTGGTCTTAATGGCTTGTTGTTATTGCTTGAGATTTTTTTATTTTGTGGGTATGACTGATTGCGTGTGTGTGTGTGTGTGTGTACCACTTACTGCAGTGTCTGTGGAGTCCAGATGGGGACCGAACCCTTTGGAACCAGAATTACAGATGGTTTTTAGTCTCCATATGGGTGCTAGGAATCAATCCCAGGTCTTCTGGAAAAGCAGTCAGTGTTCTTAACCTCTGAGCCGTCTCACCAGCCCTTGTTGTTTTTGACAGTCTAAAGCAACCCAGGCTGGCCTTAAGCTCATTGTGTTGATAAAGATGCTCTTTAGCCCTGATTTGTCTCTCTCCACCTCCCGGGTGCTGGGCTACCAGGTGAGCCCCAGGAGCAGGAGATGGAACCCCAGAGCTCTATAAGCAAGCATTCCACTAACTACATCTCCTTCTTCATAAGTTATTTTGATGCCCCGCCTTTTTTTCTAGATAAATTGCTCATTACCAACTCTTTAATCTGATCCCGTGATGTAGTTAAAGTATTAAAATTTTGATTTGTTAGAAAAGCCAAGTATCATGCCATTGTTTTCTTCACTAATCAACTGTGCAGTGTGAAAGGTGTGGTAGGTCTTAGTCTACTTCCTGTTTTACAGTTCCTTAAACTATTGGAATCTCCAGAGTGACTTTTTTTTTTTTTTTTTTTTTTTTTGCATGCCAGCAAGTCAACTGGACAGAAAGTTTTCACAGACTAAAATGAAAGATTTAAGAAGAAAATTTAGGTGGCGGCGCACGCCTTTAACCCCAGCATTCAGGAGGCAGGCAGATCTCTGTGAGTCTGAGGCCAGCCTGGTCTACAGATCGAGTTCCAGGACAGCCAGGTCTACCTCAAGAAACCCTGTCTTGAGGAACTAATATTTATGATTGTGTGTGTGATGTGTAGCGGGCACACCTATGCCATGCACACACTTTGAAGACCACTTCTTGGAGTTGGCTCTCTCCTTTCACCATTTCATAGGATCTAATGATCAAACCTCAAGTCTCTAGGCTTTCACAGCAAATACCTTTGCTGGATGATCCACCTTGCCAGCCCCATCTCCATCATATATATCCTTTTAAGTTGCTGGAGATCCATCTGCCTCTGTCTCCTGAGTGCTGGGATAAAGACATCATACTGGGCTTAAAAAGATTTGTTTTTATTTTATGTATATGACTGTTTTGCCTGTGTACGTATGGGCACCAAATGCATGCCCGGCGCCCACAGAGACTGAAAGAGGACATTAGAGCCCCTGGGACTGGAGTCACAGGTGGCTGTGAGTACCACGTGGATGCTGAGGATGCTGAGGATGCTGAAAGAGCCTCATGTGCTCTTAACTGCTGGATAATCTCTCCAGCCCCCTCCATCTTAGTTTTGAGACAGGTCTCACATCTTACTGATTTGACTAGACCAGCTGCCCAGGAAACCGTAAGGATCTTCATGTCTCTGCTTCCCCTGAGATTACAAGGGATGTGCCCTTCTGCCCACCTTTTAATGTGGGTGCTGGAGAGCCAAGCTCAGGTCCCCACTCATACTGCAAGCAATTCACTGATTGAATTGTCTCCCAAGCCCTATGAAGGTTTCTGAAGATGTCTCACCCAGAGTGGGCACGGAAGCCCTCTTTCCACATATTTTGCTGTGTGTCTATCATTTGGCGGTTTCTCTGTACATTTTGTGATATCCTTTGTTTGGTTGTTTGGTTTTGTAGTTGTGGTAGTTGTTTTTTGGTTTGGTTTGGTTTGGTTTTTCGAGACAGGGTTTCTCTGTGTAGCGCTGGCTGTCCTGGAACTTATTCTGTAGACCAGGCTGGCCTCTAACTCAGAGATCCACCCCCCTGAGCCTCCCAAGTGCTCAGATTAAAGGTGTGTGCCACCCCTGTGTGATATCCTTTGTAATAGAGTGGTAAATACAAGAATAGCTTGTCCCTGTGTTAAGGAGCTATTGTAGCAAATTAAGCTGGACCAAGGAAGGGCCATGGGAATGTGTATAGAGTGGATGGGCAAGAAATTCCAGAGGTTCAGACTCCTGGCATCTGAAATGAGAGGCAGCCTTGTGGTCCGGAACCTTTTATTTGTAGCTTCTAACAGTACTGTTGTAGTAAATTAAAAAAAAGTGTTGGATTATATAAGGTTTATTATTAGCTCCAAGATTATCACAACAGTATTATTTAACCCACTATCGCAAATAACAAGACACCGGCAGCTGTTAGATTTACAATTGCCTTATTCACCTTGGGCTGGGCACTGTCTCACTTACACTGTCTCAATGTCCTCACCATCCATCTCCCAGCCCCCATCCAATGCCATCCACCTTAATCCTGCTCACCTGCTCTACCTTCCATCCATAATCCTATGGTACTTACTTGTATTCCTCAGCTGCGCCTTTTCATGCCATTATTGGAGTCCCTTCTCTCGGCCCACGTGGTTTTTTTCTCCACATTAACCCATCCTCCTTCCTCCTCTCTTCCAGTCTGTCTGTCTTCCTTGATTGTCTCTTGAACACAAAAGCCTGAGAATCTTAGGCATCCCTACCCCGTTCTGCCCTGCCCAGGTATAGGCCATTTAATCAACCAGTCAGGTATATCTTAGGTAATTTTACAAAACAAGGATAGGTGTAATTAGATCTTGAGGGCTAGTAACACGCGTCAGACCAACCTCCAACACAGTATCTCCAAATGTTAACAATTCAATTGGAGGTTGCTCACTGCTCGTCTGGGGCGACCAGTGGTGCCGCTGTATTAATTGTATTGCTTTGATTATTATTTAGCACCGTATGACCAGAAAGAGTTCAATTTCAGAATACACCGATACCTGACTGAAAAAAACAAACAACAAAAAAAGTCCTTCTCATCATAGGATTTCTCCCCAGAAAGTATATATATTCGAGTACTTAGTTTAATTGAATGAAAGAGTAAGTGTAAAAAGTAACATTTTAGAGGTAATTCCCTATCTTCGCATTCTCTTTCTGAAAATAGTTTAGCCCAAATGTTACTTCACTACGCACACTGATTGCAAACAACTCAATAAAACTTCTTTGAGCTTCAGTCTTCCCGAGAGAAATGCTTAATGTGTCACTTGGCAATAAACGAATTAATATACATAAGTTGTTTACAATAAGTCTGGCTGCACAGCAGGTTCCTAGGAGCTAAATCCTATGTAAATACACTTTTTGGTGGTTTACAAATCACACACACACACAAAAATAATTTAAGATAATTCAGAAGTAGTCTAGGTGGAGGCAGAGGACTCTACCACGTGGAAACCACGCAGACGTGTTGCTGGAATGGTCTTGAGGATTAAAGAAACCGCCGCTCTGAAAGTGCGAATCTGTTTTCCCAAACAAAAATGCGAAAGGAAGTCGGCTAGAGATGACTGACTTGAAATCCACAGGGAACTGCCAACAGCCTGCCTTTTGACACAATGTGTTCAGCTAAACTCAGAAAATAGGGAGCCCTACCTAGTTGGTACAGTGCTTTTCTAGACAGGGTTCGATCCCCTGTCCTACACAAACTGGGACAGTCTTGGTCCTTCTTGGTTATGTAATGAGTTCGAGGCCGGACACACACACACACACACACACACACACGCACGCACGCACACTACAGAAAAGGATTGGAAGGAAAAAGAAAACACAGAGAGGAAGGCTTAGCGACAGCCATCAAGAGGAGGTTGCGGGAGCAAAAGGGCAGTGGTTTGTGTGAACAGGAACACGACACCAACAACCTGAAATACAACTCTGGTTTCCATCTGAAATATGACTCCCGGCAGGGCTCCCGCCCTCCGCTCTCAAAGAAAACTGGAGGCGGTCGGGTTCACCAACCAAGATTATGCCCGCCCGCGCCAGGAAAGTGCTTAGAGAGCTGGTGAACATCGAGCGCGCCAGGGCTGCAGCCGCGGGCCAGGCTCAAGAGAGCACCCGGCCGGGAGGAGGGCCCCGCGGCGTCCAGGCGGGAAGCGAGCCCGGAGCGGAGCCGCGGAGAAGCGGCGCCCCGCAGGCCCGCGGAGCCGCGGCGCCACCTCCAAGCGCGAGGCGGCGGCCCCAACGGTCCGCGCGGGTTGCGTCACGCCGACGTCACGCGTGACGCGGGGCCGGAGGGCGGGGTCAGCGCGGGGGCGTGTCTGGGGCGCGCGCCGGGCGAGCGCCGCTGACGTCGGGCTCAGGTGCGCGTGCCCGGCCGCTGCGCCTCCTGCTCGTCCCCGCGCGGCCCAGGTGGTGGCGAAGGGGCGACGAGCGGTCCCCGCGGGGCAGGCAGCGGGGACGGGGGCGCCCGGGCCCGCCTCACGTCTCGGCGGGAGGTCGCGGCGGGGACGGCCAGCCCGGTGGGCCTGGGTTGCACCGGGAGAGGCGAAGCGTCCGGCCGCACCCTCGAGGGGCCGGGCGGGACCTCCCCGCGGCGGCGCCCGGGCCGCCGCTCCCCTTCCCCGGCCCTCCCGGGGCTCCGCCCGCGCCGAAGGGAGGCGTCGCCTCCGCCCAGGGCCGAGTCAGCCTGCCCCCCGGCAGGCATGGACCGCTGCCCCCGAAAGCCCCGCGCGGCCCGCGACCGCACGTCCGCCGGCTCTCGCTAGCTGTTGGCATCGGGCGTTTTCTCCACCACCCAACCGGGTCTTCGGAGTCTGTTGTGATTCGGACGAAATGGAAGAAAAGGAGCGATGTGACCCATTCGGCTCTGCCCTCCTGCATTGAGGCCTAGTTGGCATCTGCAGAGAGGAAAACACAGCCAGGGAAGCGTGGTGTTTTCTTTTTTTCCAAAGGGGGTGGGAGAGGAAGGTGGCGAAAGGGAGGAATCGTACGTTTTCTGTGGCTTCTTCTTTTTCCTTTTTTAATTCGGCGCTTTGCAAGTGGTGGCTAAATAAACTAATCCAAAAGTTGTTTTCTCTATTGAGGAGACAGAAGAGGTGGATTTGTGTGTGTGTGTGTCTGTGTGTGTCCCTTTTGATTTCAACCTTTTCGCCCAGTGACAAAGCATAAATCGTGGACACCAGAGAATAAGGTGAACCTCAGGAATCTGAAGACAGAGAAGCCTAGACCTTCCTCAGGAGGGAAGGAGCGGGGTGTTTATCGGCTCTGTCTGGAACCTAAATCGAAAAACATGAGTTGCATGCCATGGAAAGGAGACAAGGCCAAATCTGAATCCTTGGAGCTTCCCCAGGCAGCACCCCCACAAATCTACCATGAGAAGCAGCGCAGGGAGCTCTGCGCCCTTCACGCCCTCAACAACGTCTTCCAGGACAGCAACGCCTTCACGCGGGAAACGCTGCAGGAGATTTTCCAGAGGTAGGGCTCCCCTGCTTGGCAGCTTGATCCCCGCTTCTTGGTATTTCTAAATTTGTGTGGGTGGTTGCAATGCCTCGGGGACCTAAACCTTCCAACCTGCGGGTTTGGAATTAGATGCTGTCCGCAGGAGTAAGGACAGGAACGGGAGGTAGTCGCCGTCTATGGGCCATCTGTTGTGCTTTACCCTCAGTTATGCAGTCACCACCCATCTGATCTGGTCAGACAGGGGGCTCCATGGTGCATGTGTTATTCTCAGTTTGTGGGTGAAGATGGGGCTGTGCGGAACTCCTTAACTTCCTCCAAATAACCCGACAAGCCATGGACTCGGGTGAGTTCAGGCTGGTCCTGCCACTTGGGGTCATTGCTAGAATGCCTCCCTGCCAGCCCTGGCCACCAAGGAATTTACAGTCTAGGAGGGACACATTCAGTCATCTGTCACCAAAGGTGGGACAGGATGAGGAGCACAAGGAAAGTGAACCCACAAGGCTTAGCTTTTCGGAGACCATGTGCTGGCCACTTCATACGTTATTTTGTATGACTCTCCTCACAGTCACTTTGTTGATAGAGAAATGGACAGAAAGGTCAAGTAATTTGTGGAAGCAGCTTCTGCTCAGCTACGCTGTGACTGGAGCTGACTCCAGATCTCTCCTCCTCTGGTGGGCATGATAAGCAGGATAACCTTCTTGGGGCTAGTGAGAAGCTCAGTGGTGGGGTGTTTGCATATTATTCAGGAGGTCCCAGGTGCAAGAGAAACATGGCGGACCCCTTAGAGCAGCTGTGTCACTCCCCAAGTGGCCAGAGTCCAGTTTTAGGCCCGTTGCTTTGGGTTTTGAAAAGTCTTTTACCAAAGGCCTTGGGAGTTAGTTCTGCAGGGTCCGGCTGGACCCAGCAGTGTCACTGCAGTCCACGGCAGCTTTGATCCCTCCAGCTGGGAGAGGTTTGGTATACCCAGACCTCAGGGCCACGAAAGCTCAGGCATGCTTTAAGCAGTACTTTGTTTTGACGCTCCTCGATTGGAGATGAAGTAGCTGCTGCACTGGAGTCAGGTACAGCTAGAGGGAGCCTGTGTGGGGTGATCTGTGCAGTACCGGTGGGACCACTTATCCTGAAGGAGCCGCACGTGTCTGAGAGGAGAGCTCTACCTGAGGGCTCTTGAGGAACGTCGATGAGAGTAATTATTTTCCGATGTCAATAGTGCCTTTGCCTTAGCAGGGCAAGGTGTGCCCTTTACTTCATGACCATTATCTGCAAGTGCAGTTTATTCCTCAGGAAGTGAAGCTCTAGGAGTAAAAAGATGTGTCTTCGACCACCCAGTCATGTGACAGAAAGGAGGAACCCAGGCCTCTGAACTGCTGCCTTTTGGTTCAGCTCTGAATGGTTTCCTAATCTGTAACCAGGGAGAGGGAAATGACTCAACATGAGCACCTGAGTAGCTTGTTATGTTATAAGTGTGTACTGACATTCTCAAAGCAACCTTAGCAATGACGTGGGGAGCCAGGACTGAGTTTATGTAGTTTGCCTAGTTTTACCCACCAGTCAGTAAATGTCAGATTGAATGTAGTTAGTCCTACTCAGCTTGACAGATTTTGACCTCTATGAGTTTGGCTCCTGGGCTGACAAGGGAGTTAATGATCATCTTGGAACACTAACAGACCAGCACTTGGCACCATTCTGAGGAACAAACCCTCTTTGCACAGGCAGCTAAGTCCTCACACCCAGCTTAGGAGGTAGGCTCTATTCTTTCCCATTATTCCAGATGAAGAAATCAGGACATGGCGTTTGTATTTGCTAAAGTCCAGACTGTTCCTCCTGGCTGCTTGCTGCAGACTGGAAAAGCTCCTCAGAGAAGCAAGACCTGCAGTAGCTGCCTTTCTAGCTAGTAAATGGGCAGGATTGGGGGTCTGGGATGTGTGTGTTTTTGGAGAATCATGTGCATCTTTCAGATGTGTTTTCCTGAATGAAAGATGCTAAATATGTGCCAAGCACCCACATGGGACCAGGGCCCTGTCCCTTGTGAAGCTTTTTTGTGATATATTTATGATATATTGTGATATATTTCTGTGTTCCCAGTCAGCACAGTACAGGCTAATAGAATTCCAGAAAAGTAGTTCTCTTATAGAACATTTCTATTTGTAAAGATTCTGTATCTCAAAAAGGTATGGAAGGAACCTAGAAGAAAATGTAGAAGAGCGCTTGCACCATGCCAGGTACTGGGAGGTCCTGTAGAGGAAACGAGCCGAGCAGGGCGCCTCGGGCTGCACAGTGGACAGGTGTAAGAGACTGAGGTGCAGGGAGCGTCACGGACAGTGGGGCAGTTTAGAAGTGAAAGATGGCCTCTTTCGAAACTGGCATTCAAAGAGAAGAAAGCTGACAAGGTTCATGCGTGCTGTTTTTTTAAAATGTGGCTCATGGGCAGTAGAAATGGGAGGAGACTGTTCCCAAGAGCTGTTTGTTGAGAGGAAGTTCATCAGAGCAGTTGAGTTTTAGCTAGTTGAAGGAGGAGAAATACAAAAGCAGGGTGGAGTTTTAATAGAGTGGTAGAGAATGACTCATGGTCAGAATAGAAATGAGTAAGAATTTAGAGCTGAGCCAGTGCTGATGAGCAGCAGGAGTGTGGGGAAGGGAGGAATCAGGTGTAACTCAGGCTTGATCCAGGAGAAAACACCTCCGAGAGTGGACATGCCATCATCAGTGTTTATTTCACCTCCCAGACTACTACCACATGTGTGTCTAAACTGAAAAAGAAGGGTCTGGAAGCACACTCAAAGAGGACTGAACTCCGGCCTTATGCGTGCTCAGCAAATGTTCTTCCACTGCTCACTTCTCAGCTTGCAGAAGCATTTACTGTATTTTGAGATTTTATTCATTTGTATTTTATGTGTTAGGGATATTTTGCCTGTATGAATGTCTTTGCACCACGTACATTTGTTGGAGTTACAGGTGGTTGTGGGCAGCCGGGTCCGTTCTGGGGACCAAACCTGGGTCCCCAGTGCTCTTAACCACTGAGCCATCTCTCCAGCCCTTGTGCTAGGCTACTTTTGAAATGCTTAGGCTTAAGATTTTTTTTGTTTGTTTGTTTTATTTTGTTTTGTATTTTTTTGACCTTTCCCCATTATTTTAGTGATGAGATAGTCTTACAGCTGCCTATGCACTCCTCCTAAGTAGAATAGCTATTAAAATCTGATTGGACAGAAGCCAGCTGGGTACCAGGGGAACATTCTAATGGAAAGAACCGGAAGGTTAGGAATGTCCTTGAGTGGCCACAAAGGGTAAGCACCATTCATTCAGTCTTGAGAAGGTGGGAAGAGCCATATTGAAGTCTGAGAAGGTGAGCTACGGAGCAGAGTGCTGAGGGTTTTCTTTTTGGTTTCTGGTTTCTCACTGTAGCCCTGGCCGTCCTGGAACTTGCTTGGTAGACCAGGCTGCCCTGAGACTCAAGAGATCTGCTTGTCTCTGCCTCCTGAGTGCTGGGATTATAGGTGTGTGCCACCACTGCCTGGCTGACCTCTGTGGAGTAGTCAATCCATGATGGGCATGGCGGATACTTCTATGAGCTGTTTTATTTAGAAACATACCAAGAAATTCTGAGGAAAGAAAGAAGTAAGGGAGAAAAAAAGTTGATTAAACCTCTCCCTCTTCCCTCTTCATTAAGATCCAAAATCACCACCAGAGAAGGCACAGGAGTCATTCTAAAGAAGACTGAGGGCACGGGTGGTGATTCCGTGGAAACCAGCAAGGCAGTTGTGAGCAGCAGCCGGTGTACCCATGAGGCTCTGGTGCAGAGCCGCTGGAGCAGCGAGGGGAAGTAGGGTGGTCCGGCTGCCCAGTGCTGTCTTAAGAGGCTGGAGCCTTGCTGTGCCACCTACCAGCTGTGCGTGACTGTGCAAGCCACTGTGCCCTTTACCCCGCAGCTTCCTTATTTACAGTATCTAAAGATTGGGGAGGGATTAAATGACAGCGTGCAGGAGGTCGCTAAGCCAGTTGGGCAGCCAGTGATCCTTAACGTAAAAGGGGCTAGGAGGATAATCACAGGAGTAGGCAATTACTCTTCTTCAAGTGACCAGTGAATGAGACGGGCACAGTAAAGAAACCAAAATAGCTGCTCTGTGGGTAAAAGGGAAAACTTTATTCCAAAGCACCAAGGCTGTCTCTCTGGGAAGCAGAAAGAACAAGGGAGTGAGGTGGGGGTGGGATTTTCAGTGCTTTAAGGGGAGCAGGTACCTGGGAGCAATCTAAACTGTGGTGGAGGGCTCTGAAGTGTGTAACAGGTGTTTTTGAGTAGAGATTGAAGGAGCCTGGAAGCTAGCATAGCCGATATGTTAGTAGACACCACAGGCATATGTGAATGGCAGAGCCAGATTCCCTTTGCCAGAGATAAGGAGAATGCTTTTTAGCTATCAGTTTAGAAGCTGTTTTCCCAAGTTCCTGAGGGCTTTTGTCTGAATGCCAGACTTCGTAGAAAGAGATTTCTTGGGACCAGACAACCAGAACAGAATGGAATGGAAATTGTTGTTCGCAGCTTTCTATATGGATCGGTTTGTGTTTTCTTTGGGAGGAAGACGATTGTGTACTGGAAGACGATCCTGAACCCTCCACCTCCCAAGTGCTAGACGACAGTCCTTTGTCATCACTCCCTGTATTGGGCAGCTTGGACATGTTTATAAATGAGTTTCAGGACTCACTGCCTAGTTGAATGCGTGCTAAATGAATTCTTCAGTAAATTAGTATCAATGATGTTTGGATAAATTTGGATTATGTGTGGCCATCTGAGTCTCCCTCCATTTTCACAGAGTCAGGAAGTATTCTGTGAAAGAGAAGATGGAAGGTTGAGCCTGAAGAAGCTGTGGGATTTGGCATGTATTCAGAAGTAGGAGAAACCACTAAAGGCCACATACACGGTTTTGGTGCCTGAAGTATATATACTTCACGCTCAGCAGCGGGGTGGGATTTGGAATTGGCCAACCAAAACTGTCAGTTCTGGAGAAGGGGATGAAATGATGCCTTGGGGAGTGTGGTGGAAATGTATGTGCTGAACTGTTGGAAGGAACATTTGGAGGCAAGGAGATGCCTTTGGGAGTCTTCCTAAAGCTCAGTGTGAGACTAGAGGCCTCCAGTTAGGAAAGTCAGGACAGGGTGTGAATCTTAAAAAGACTTCTGAAGAGATGAGAGGGGACTGAGATGTTGGGACAGCAGTCCTGAGAAGTAGCCCTCAGAACAGATGTCTGTATAGTTTGCTGGTGTGGAGGACTGAAGCATATTGTGTAACCTTCTCCTGTAGGCTGAAGATAAAGACTATGCTAGGGACTCGTGGGTTCCTACAAAAAGCCATGGACCTTGCTGGTTCATTCTGTTATTAATGTATTGAAATATTAGATGCCCTTCAGATGCTCAGAGCCCCCCACACTGAGTATGGAGCTGGGAGACCCAGGAGAGTATAGCCCTGGGCGTGAGCCTGCAGGGAGGTAGCCAATAGGAGACTGAAATGTTAGTCTTATCTCTGGTGGGGTCACCTTCTCCATATTGGTCAGAGGCTCTCAGGAAAGGTTGAAGCCACACACAGGTTCCTGAGGGTAGGTAGAGCGAAGGATCTGTTACCACCCAAGCTGGGACTCTTCTCCACTGCTTTCTCCCACCGCGGGTACAGAGCCTTTGTTCTAGTCCTCCACGGAGGTCTCAGGACTCAGCAGACCTTCCTGCTCAGCAGCCGGACACCACCTCCCATCCCACCCACGCTGAACCGTGGTCCTCCACTGTAAGCAACATAACTGGATTCTCGTGAACCCAGGTTTGAGCTAAGGTCTGTCAGCTCGTAGTGTTCATGGACAAATCAGTTGAAATCACCAAACTTGAGTGTGGTGCTGTGGCACACACCCAGCATTCCCAGAACCTAGGAGTTGGAAGCAAGAGGATCAGGAGTTTTAGGTTCTTTTCAGCCAAATGTGACTTTGAAGCTAGCTTAGGCTACATGAAACCCTTTATAAGAAAAAAAAAAATCACCTAACTTTCAAATTAAAAAAAGATTTATAGCCAGGCATGACTATAAATATGTAGGTTTGGTTTTTGGTTTGTTTGTTTTGGTTTTTGTCTAATAGATTTTTTCTGTCTTTTAAGTTTGATTTTCTGTTTTTGTTGTTATATTTTTTGAGAGAGAAAAACATGAGGTTGAGTGGTTAGGGTCATGTGTGGAGTATTTTATCTGCATGTATGTTTGTGTACCATATGTGTGCCTGGTGCCATCAGAAGCCAGAAGGCACCGGATCCCCAGGAACTGGAATTCCATCATGTGAGTGCTGGAAATCAAACCTGGAAGAGCAGCCAGTGCCCTTAACCACTGAACCAGCTCTGCAGCCCTAAATCTCAGTGGTGCTCAGTGTGGTGGCACACACCTGTAGTCCCAGTGCCTGGGAGGCAGAGGCAGGCAGATCTGTGTTACACAGAGCAAGCTCTAAGTGAGAGCAGCTACCTAGTGAGACTGTCTCAAAACAAAACACAGCAAAATAAAATCCCTGTGACAGGAAGTCAAGCTGTAGTGTCCCAGAATTGGCTCTGGCTGCGCGCGCACACACACACACACTGACTGGAGATGGGTTCTACATTTCAGTTTAATATAGGCCTCATTACTTTTAATTGCCTTTCATTTGGTTCCAGTTCATGCATTTATGCCGCCTGTCTCGGCCACCGCACTGTCACCTTTGAATATTTTAATGATTATGGAAGTACAAGCTTTAGAGTATTTAAATTGCAGAAGGGAGGAGTAACAGTTACTATCTGTGCTGTTTAAAGCACCACATACCAATTAACTAGTGCTTCCTGTAGCGGAGACCTCACTATGTGGTTCTGACTAACTGCAGCTAAGCACATGAGGCTGGACTTGAACTCAGAAAGATCTGCCTGCCTCTGTCTCCTGAGTACCAGAATTAAAGTTGTGTGCCACCGCACTTGGCTTCGTCAGGGGTTTTGTTTGTTTTGTTTTGTTTTTAAGGTTTGTATCAGAGCAGAAATAGCAGCAGTAGGAAGACTGTGGTGACAGTTCATAAAGGAGACCAGTGCCTCCGTGGATCATTTCCTGTGGTCACTCCCTTCATTGTAGCACTCCTCCCAAAAGGCCGGAGAGGTCTCAACCTTCCTGAATTGTTTTGCACTGGGAGAGGTAATCTCTAGGCCAGCAGGAGCCAGGCGTGCACTGCTTAGGTAGAAACTGGCGAGACTGTTCTGCTGAGGGAACCAGCTTCCAGGGGCAACTCTCAATGCTTTTCTGTCAGTACAAGGCTGGGGAGGCTGGGCAGATGAGCAAGCCTGAGCTTTTCCTTTTACATTTGTAGGTTGTCTCCAAACACCATGGTGACGCCCCACAAGAAGAGCATGCTGGGAAATGGGAACTATGATGTGAATGTCATTATGGCAGCACTTCAGACCAAAGGCTATGAAGCTGTTTGGTGGGACAAGCGCAGGTAGAGAACCAAACTTAATTTGCTGACAGGAGCAGGCTGTGGTTCCAACCCCAAGTGAATGGGGCAGCCATGGAGTGTGGCTGCCCCAGAGCCTGACACTTTTTCTCTTCTGCAGGGACGTGGGTGTCATTGCTCTCACTAACGTCATGGGCTTCATCATGAACCTGCCCTCCAGCCTGTGCTGGGGTCCACTCAAGTTGCCACTCAAAAGGCAACATTGGATCTGCGTTCGTGAGGTGGGAGGGGCCTACTACAATCTTGACTCCAAACTCAAGATGCCAGAGTGGATTGGAGGCGAGAGTGAGCTCAGGTGACCCTCAGAGGATGGGCTGCTGGGCTTTTACCTTGGTGTGCTGGGGAAGCGGAGTTCTTCTGATTATTTGACAAAGCAAATGAAATTCCTTTGTCCTTGCGTCCTTTCCCATCTTGGAATCAGAGGGTCCTGGATTAGAGGCTTAATTAGGACTCCATCCCTTTAACAGGTTTCATATCCTGTGACTCTAACTTTCTGGTCTGGTTGGGCTGACATTGTCACCTGTCCATTTAGACAACTGTCAGTTCAGAGGAAGGTGACATTCAGACCAGGCATAAGACAGGGTTTCTCTCAACAGGCACATTGGTGAACGCCTGTAATCCCAGCACTCAGGGAGGCAGAGGCAAATGGATCACTGTAAATTCAAGGC